AAAGTACTTTCAAACCACACCAAAGACTTAAGTAGCGGACCATCGACATGGGTTTTTCCTTTGGATGGATAACTTCAACAATAATGCATTATGTGCACTCACAATAGAGATACGACCTTTATGAGTGCATATCGATCGATATTTCTGCGGTATGTTCATATACAGGTTTGTAGCTCTTGGAAAGCTCTACACAACCATGCCAATGTTGGCTGGTTGAGCTACACCTTTGTGTAATAAAAAGTCTGATTATCATTGAAGGTCAGACTCAATTACATGCAACATTCGTGGACTGACTCTACCAGCTTAGTCAGTGGAAAAATAAGGGTTGGAGGAATAAATGTGCTAGAAACGATGCTCCGACAGTGTCTATAAGAGTTTTAGATAGATGGAATTGCATATTTTTCGGGGACCGATTTCAGCTGAAAACGAAACCCCTAACTTTATCTTTTATCACTTCGCATTTGGGCAAATCAAAAAAGCGAATGCTCTAATCTAGTTCAAGTTGTAGAGAATAATTTTCTGTACAAAATCCTGTATCTCGTTTCTCTTGGGAATTCCGTTTTCTGCCAAGCTTTTTCTTTTCAAGAGCGCATACTGAAATTTGCGGGTTGTGATCAATGAGTGGCTCAGCGCATGGTAAAAAGATTGAGCAAAATGAATCATGTGTTAATCAACACGTAGTCAAGACCATGAGCATCAAAATGATATCCAACATGAACGTATGTCTAGAACGTATTTTTGTGCTAACAGGCACATTAATTTTCCAAAAAATTCTAAAATTTGTCGCACTTATACTCAGATACTTCTCGGTTGATTTAAAAAAACTGGCAAGGCAGAAAGTCTTATATCAACGTCGGTTACAAGCTCTGAAAGTTTCAGGCGATTTGAAGATACTTGTGTATATTCTGGTAGAGACCCCATGGAAATACCCAGATACATCCTTCTTCAGATGACGAGAAGGAATTTTTTATTTGACTCTCAATGTACGAGTAATCAGCTATTGTATGAAAAACGCTGCATCGGATTTTTACTACTTAAAAGGTTTGTAGATTCTGCCAAAGAAAAAAAATCAAAATTAAAAAAAATCCTTTCCCTCATCTGAAGTGCCAAGGAGTTCTCTTTCAAATGAGACCAGCCCAAATGCTTCATCTCGAAGTGTATTGAAAAAATCCTTGTACGCGTGGAACCCCGATTTTGCCCCTTGGTACCTGTTTATCTCCGGAAGAGAAATGGTTAGAGCCATGAAATTTTTTTTACACGTATCTTTATGGGCCGAGCATCTACAGAAAGTTTCATGAAGATCCTATGCACCATGTTGAAAATCGATTTTGGAGTGGGGGGAAGCCTTAAAGCTAAGGACAAAATCGAGCGATAATCAGAGCATTGCCAGCAAAAGTAGACGTTCTAAAAATCATATAAAAGTATACATTAAATTTTGCAATTTTAATTCCTAAGAGATTGGGCCAACATCTTTGCTTTACGTCTTGGCATGCGCAAAATAGAAATAATATTTTACCATTAACTAATATCGATGAAGAATCGGCCACTATCGGTTACAGATTATATTACTGAAGTCTTCAAGTCATATCTAATCGTAAAATGACTTATACAAATGCCTAATTCCAGTTTCATAAAAAGAATGTTAGACTATTTCGAGCAGAGGAGTCAACATACATATATGAAACAGTCAGAACTCAAATTTAACTGAATTGATCCCATTAAAATCTCTAATTTGATCAATGACTCGTTTTCGAATCACACTCTCTGCAAGTTTAAAGTACAAAAGCCAACTTCATAGTATCCACAAGTAACGTTCATCGACATCAAAAGTCGATTCACTGGGCCCTAGACTGACAGTGCTGAAGAGAAGAAATGCATGGACAGGACAGAAAATCGGTTGTTTGCGCCAGTAGCTGGTGGTGATATTTTTAAACAGATCTGTAAACAGGGTGGGAATAACTGAAACTGAAGTAAGAATTAGACGAAAATTAACGGTTTCAAGTAAAAGCACTAAAATTGAAGATGAAACACGAACAGAATTGTACGCAAAGACGCATAAATCGGCGGAGAGGTTGAGTGTTACCTAGCAAAAAAATACAACAGTCTAGAAATTTCGTGATGATAAGCTCAAAATTCCGTACGGGGATCAGCTAACCCTTCCATTCAAGACATATCCATAGCGGACTGTTTCCCGCGACCATGTCATGCAACCGCCCATGGTTTGTGCCGTAACAATGCCCTAGGTGCCATCAAAATGGTCATTTTACGACAGAAATGCTCATTTTGTACCGTTCGAATGGTCATTTGTACCATGGATATGGTCATTTCTGCCATAGAAATGGTCATTTGTGCCACGGAAATGGTCAATTGTGTCATTGAAATGGTCATTTGTAACATAAAAATGGTCATTTCTGCCATAGAAATGGTCATTCGTGCCACGGAAATGGTCATTTCTACCATAGATATGGTCATTCGTGCCACGGAAATGGTCATTTCTACCATAGATATGGTCAGTTCTGCCATAGAAATGGTCATTTGTGCCATTGTTACAGACAGACAGACAGACGGACAGACAGACGGACGGACAGACGGACAGACAGACAAACAGACACAGGTGAATTACGGTTTCTAGACCCTAGCCTTTCAGTCAAGGGAATGAGTTTTTTTTGTTAAGATTTAATCTATCTGCATTAAATGGAATAATTTGATATCATGATTTCATTGATCTCATTCATTTCAAGTGAATTTAAGTGTTTTTGAATGAATAAAAGCTAGTCCAAATTTTGGATAAAATTATGTAAAAGCATTGCAAATCACTGGAAACCATTGAAATGGCATGAAATCCCTCAAGAGGGTTTCAAAACTGAGACTAAACGATACTAGTAGTTTAAATTGACGTTAAGACTCGATGAAACTGATTCAGATTAAGATTCTTCAGTAGTGGTTCACCTTAAAAATCACTCAAAACTACTAGAAATCACTTGTAATCAGTTGAAGTCGTTTGAAATCAAAGGAATCTTTTGAGATTTGCTGCCTCCTCTTAGATGAGTAAGCGCAATATATTTTTAGACTAATTGGCATCACTTGTATGATCATATATTTGTTTTTTTAATTCTATCTTTCTTTTAGGTTTTACTGATGTTTGGTTCGAAAAGTGATCGATCACTAAATATAGAACGTCAAATATTTGCCATGAATGCGAAGCAGTATCGTAGAAGTCATTTTCGAAACACATATGGTACCAAAAATGGTGGTATGGCCGAGGCTATTCTTTATTATGGATGTGAAATGAAACCGGCCATTCGTTCTCTTGAAGAAAATTCGATTATTTTCGAAGATGGTACCAAAGAAGTCGTCGATGAGATAGTGTGTTGTACTGGCTTTGAAAATCGTTTCTCATTTCTGGATTGTATCGATAATAATCCGGTTTTGCAGCAGGTTGGCCATGATGCAAGAATTTCGCATAACCTGTACAAGCATGCTATTCATCCACTGACCCGTGATTCTCTTGTATTCATTGGTTTTGTTCGTCCTTGTTTTGGAGCTATTCCACCTCTAGCTGAAATGCAAGCTCGTTGGTTTGCTTTATTATGTTCTGGAAAAATCGATTTACCGGATACATCAACGATGGATAAATACATTCGTACTTATGTCCGTTACATTGAAAACTTTCTTACACCATATCGTGTTAATCGTATTACGAATCTAACAGACTTTCTCTCGTTCTCAGATGATATGGCTTGGGCTATTGGATGCCGACCTAATCTTGATTTTAAGATGTTGTTGCGGGATCCATATCTCTGGCTTCGTTGCATGGTCGGACCAATATGCAATGCACAATATCGTTTGTGTGGACCTCATGCACAGCCTGCACAAGCTCGTCGTATACTACTTACTCTAAAGTGGAAACCTCTTTGGTATAACATATGCGAGTTTATTATGCTATATACATCTGCATTAGTGTGGTACTGTGGTCTGAAAAGCTGGCTGCCACATACCTGGGCTCCAATTCATGAACGCCATATCTAATATATCAACTGACTATACTATTTCATTAAGCCAATTTTCTAATCCTAATTAATTTTTGCGTAGATTCTCATTTATCCATTAGATATATAACCAACTATAGTTAGCATCATAATAATAAAGTATTTAGATAAGTGTGGCTACTTGCTGGAATATAATACATTAAAAGTAATATACAAATGTTCTTGAGTTCTACTCTGATACACTGTAAAAAAAAGGGTAGAATAATAAACCCTTTAAGGGTTTATGAAAGTGCAACGTAGACTAAACCCTTTTACCGTATGTGAAAAGTTTCTTAATCCCTTTCATATACCCTTAGAAGGGTTTATGAAAGGGTATTTGAAGATTGATACTGATTTTGACATTGCCGAATCGGTCGGTGTAAGCATAATCAACGAGTCAATATCGAAGATAAGCATCGAGCGATTGTATTCATCGCACTCTAAAACAAGAAATATCGTCGCTGTCTCTATTTCATTAGGTTTAACTCAATAATCCGATGTGGATTAGTGGCATGCCAATACAAAACTATTCAAATTGTCAATAATTAATGCAATACTGATAGTAAGACGACATCTCTAAGCAGATGATAAAAGTGGGCACCGACGGAATTGTGCTGGTGAAAACGGAGTTTTTTTCAGGATTACGGATGATCTGTACTCATTCCGATTTGATATGACCATAGAGGCATCAAATGTCCGTAAATATGAAAAGATTCATAATTACCCTCCTTGTATTTATCAGAAAACTTGAAAAACACTACAATGACCATTGATTGTTACTTACCAAGAAATAATGTTGTTAACAATTCAAACATCTGATTTTCTTCGAATGCATTATTCTTAATAAGAAAGTTGAGATCGATGATTTGTATCGTGTCTATATTGCGACTTGAACACCCGTTGATAAAACGGGAAAGTAGTGTCAGAGTTGATGTTTCTTGTGGATGCAACGGCAATTCCAGTGATGATTCCTCGTTAGCGAATTCGATAATGCATTTTCGGTCAGCTAAATTAACCAGAATACGACCGGAAGCAATATGATTGGGTAATTCGAGTGAATACTCTTGCTGATTGTTCATAGAGTTCATATTCGGGTAGAGCCTAAAAATACTTGGCAACGTTTCCATGCCAAACCAACAGCTGAATTCACGTGCCACAGCATCGGCTAGTGTCAGAAGAGTATGATTAGTAAATGCTTCCAATGATTGGCATTGATCTAGCGTAATAACAATACTCGATCTGAGTGCATGTATAGCGGCACCACTAAAATTTGTTGTTATGCGAACAAGAAAGTCAATGTGTCGGCTAGTACATTTACGCAGATCTTTGAGCAATAATGGTTGAAGCATTTTTTCGCGCGTTTTCGGTGATGGTCGGCCTACGAAACATTTCCCTTGCATACGACGTAGAAACGCTTCATCCATCATATTTCGACGATTGGTCGCGCCAAGTACAATGAGATTCGGAATATCTTTCACACCTTCAATGTGCGAGAGAAGAACACTAATGCCGTCGACTTTCGATTGCTGAGCATTATTATCACGTTTTGGAACGAGCCCATCGATTTCGTCGATGATCATTGCTGATATCAAGTGAGGTATAGTATCCGAACGATGCATGATGTCCACCAGTAATTTTTCTGTTTCGCCCACATAGGACCGATTTAGTTCGCCCGCAGCCAATGGAATTGTTATTGTTGTAATACCAGCAAAAACAGCCGCACGTTTTAACAGTTCAGATTTACCTTAAATTATCGGGTGATGTACAGAGAAAATGATAGTTGGAGTCTCATCTGAACATTATTTTTGTAATTTTCTCATAAATCAATAATCATGTTATCACTACATCAAACTCCGCAGTTATTTAACTAAGGATCACTCGCCTTTTATTTTGGATCTGGGAATAGAGTATGAATTCTTACTACCAAGCATCTCATTGACTGACTCGATTTAAATGTAATAAACATAAAGCTAGATCAAGATGTTTCTTTAGTGTAACAACTACAAATGAACAGTCAACAGAATAAAGTATTTACCTGTGCCTGGTGGGCCATAAAGTAGCAGTCCTCGTCCATATTTGACTTTTAACTTTTGGTGTTCGTCGACGAGATTAAGTTTAAGAAAAGCATCAAGATCTCGAATCTGCATATCAAGATCAGTAAGATTGCTTGATATCTCCGCATATACTCTGTCTTCTTTGGCAAGAATTTCTCGTTTTTTATCGAGCTCTTTTTTGGCCAATGTTATTCCGCGGTCATAATCACTTTGAAGCTTTTGTATCGCATGATCTCGAGAGAAGTTGCTCATCTCATCTACTCTTCGGCGAATTTCATCTTGTTCTCTTCGAATATTTGCTATTTCTGCAACCTTATTGTTATAACCCAGTTCAGCTAATTCAACTTCTTGCTGTTGGATTAAACGTGCACAATGTTGTTTCGCATGTTCTTCATGCATCGGTTTAATATCTTCCAGCAGTCGTGCACGTTCATTCATCCACTTCTTACGTTTCTCATCGTGCTCAACCGAAGTAATGACAACAGGTTTCAAACAAAAGGTTCGCATATAAGCATGAATAGTATTAAGAACCTTTCCATCATCTTCGTACGTTCGACGCATTTCTTTAATCGATAAATCAACAGCTTCTAGATCAAGATAAGGTATATATTCGAGTGTCTTAGTGACATCGTGGAAATAGCGACGAACACGATGGATATCCCCGTATAGAGTGGCTGCTGAATCTTTGTAGGGATCCTTGACTCTATTCGATGCAACAGACGGAGTATGCAATTGAATATAATCACGTATCATTTGTTTAACAAAGTATTTCACCGATGATAATTTGTCCCAGCAATCTTTGTCGCCAGCAACAGTACGAAGATGCTGAACCGTTGTGATGTTTTCCACTATTCAAGCAGATATTATAATTAAAAAGAAATTAAGAACATCATGAAGACGATATGGAATACGATCTCACTCTCAACTTGCGAGTGTTAGTTTTGTATTCATCTCACATCTCTCTCTCCACATTCATACTCTTATCCAATCATACCTTCTAAAGCATCCTTCCAAGTAATGGCGTCGTTTTCATTGCATTTGTTTTGAAGAGAAATACGTTTGAGAAGACATAAAATAGTGACATCATCGTCCGATTGAGAAACAGATTCCGCTGTTTCAGTCGTAGTAGTAGCAGTCGTCAATGATGTTCTTTGTGAAGTAGGGTTCCTGTCTTTGACCACTTGAACTGTTGCTCCCGATGTTGTTTTCCAAATTTTGGGAAAGTTCTTGTTTTTGTCTTCATCTGCACATTGATAATCAAGTTCCAGTAAATCGATTAGATAATTGAAGGTCCATACTCCGAATGCATCAGTCTTTTGTACGCAGAGATTCGGTCGATAAACGAGTCGTTCTTCTTGATTACTCATATCAATCGCTTTATGCGTCGACTCGATTGCATATTGTTCCAGCACTGAAAGATGGCTTCCGGAAGACTTCTTCGGAAGATGTTCGTTTGGTGCCATCATTTCATCGACGAACTTGTCCAACTCACAATACGAATGTTTCATCCGAACATTCAGAACGAGTGTATGAACAATCTCAATTACATTCGAAACATGTTCTCTCGGTTCTGCAGTGACTTTTTGGGATCTTGCTTTCGGCACAAATAAATTACCGGTAGTTTTTTCCTGTGCTTCACTCATCGATAGGAGTAGTTCCTATATTTAGTATTTTAACAGATCAATCTAGAAGAAAATAGAGAAACAACATCGACACATTAACTGATTCATATTAAATTTTTGTTTGTTTATTATCAAAAGTAGATATTTCCTATACTTACGATGGAAGTGGGCGGGCTATAACTCAAAGAAATTAGAAATATTCGAGTCAAAGGAAAGCGCTCACCGCCAAACTAACAAACTTAAAATTTTCGTGCCTATGGTGAGCGCAGGCCGAGATATTGAATTTTCCAATTTCAGCCTAAAACGTTTATACACATGAACTCAAATAAAACTTGTTCAAAAATTCCAAAATATTTTCTGTAAGCTAGTCTCATTGGGTTCTTCATGTGTATAAACTTTTTAGGTTGAAATTGGAAAATTCAATATCTCGGTCTGCGCTCACCATAGGCACGAAATATTTTAAGTTTGTTAGTTTGGCGGTGAGCGCTTTCTTTTGACTCGAATGTGTTCAATCTTTTGGAGTTACAGCCAACACGCCTCCCCTGTTAGTACTTTTCCTGAGAAAACCGCTCAGTAGTAGTGTGTGATATGATGATATACTGATCTATTGATAGACTAATTCAAGGCGAGAATTTTTTATATTCCGAGATATATACCTAGGACAAATGGAAACCATGGATTCGCTACACATACATTTATGAAGATTTATAGTTGCAGTCTCTTTTGTTTATAGGATCGATGTATCAATGCGATTTATTCTCATAACTAAAACGCAAAGTGTTATTCTAAATAAAATATTGAGTCATTGTTCATATTTGCCTGTGTAATAATGTTCTTAATTAGTTCTTATTTTGTTTTTGTAAATGTATATTTCTTTGAGCTTCTTGATTTTGAATTCGTACTACTTCAGGATGTCTGAGTATAATTTTGTTCGATTCTTTATGATATTCTTCTTGCTGTTGATAATGACGTACTTTGAATGACGTAATTTCATTATCAAGTTCTTTGAGTTTTTTATGACATTCCATTTTCTCTTGCTCGTTCGCATTGAGCGTCGTATTCATTAGTGCTAATTGGTCAGTCAATTTCTCGTATTCAAATTCACGCTGGCGAATTTTTTCATTGGCTTCGACCATTTGATCATCAAGAGCTTTAAGTATCGTGTTTGATGCATCAATTATTCTTTGTCCGTTTGTTTGTCGTGTACGTTTATCGCTTATACTCCTATTCATTTCAGTAACTTTCATCGTACTCTTTATAATTTCACTTCTATTTAGTTCTAGTTTATTCTCCGCAATTGTAGCTTGATTGGAGAGTTGTTGGTCACGGCCATTTAATAATTTCAATTGTTGATCGAGACGTTTCACTTTGTTTTCTTGTTCGAGAACGCGAGAGCGTGCATCTCGAAGTTCGATGTCCTTTTTTCCTTTTTCTGTTTTGATATTCTCTACGTCTTTCTCCAAGGCTCTCTTTCGACCAGTATTGCCTTTGATCTGCTTTTGCTTGTCGCTAAGTTCAGTAGTTTTTCTTCCCAGATTACTTTGAATGTTGGTAAGTGTATCTTGTCTCTTCTTTATATCATTGTTTAATTCTTCGATAGTACTTTTTTTCGCATTATAAAGTGTCTGTTCATGAGCCATTTCACGTTCATTGGCTTTGATTTTGTTGCTCACATTGCCAATAACGTCTGTTAGAATTTTGTTGTCATCTTTTAATAGAAGAGAAAAATAGTAGTGTGCATTTTACAAGAAAACATTCTTTGAAAAATCTCAGTCACTTGTTGAGATTTGTTTCTTCCTAACTGTTATACATACCTTTAAGTTTTTGTATCACTTTTGATTGTGCCTGATGTTCACGTTCCTTCGTTGAGAGAGCATCGAGATTAGAATTCCGCACTTTTTCATGTTGTTCTATGTCTCGTCTGTGTCTGCTGATCTCTGTATTCACGTTTTCTATGCTTGCCGTCACATCTTCCATTTGAGTTTTGTGTGAATTCGAATCTTCTTGTCGACGTTCCAGTTCGCTGATGGTTGTACTTCGTTGTGCCTCAGTTCGTTGCAGTTTAGTATTTGCCATACGTAGATTTGATTCGCACTGTTTTTGCCGTCGAACGGCTTCTCGATGCTGTTCGGTTAGTCGTCTTACTTCGCTGATAGATTCATTCACAGCCATTTTTGCTGTGTTGGTACTTGTTTCTTGCTTTCGAAGAGCTTCTTTCGTTGCTTCATATCTTCTCTTACAGTCCTCTTTGCGAAATTCGATACCTTTGAGTTTATCCTTTAGTTCTGAAACTTTGGATTTTTTTGTATCAACCTTATCCTTCGCTCTTTGAAGTGCTGCGTCGGCTCGACTTTGTTCTTGTTTCCTGTTTGAGGCTAAATTGGATAGCATAGGAAGTATACCTAGGATTTTCCATGCCAAACTATGAGACTTAAATGAATTGACTTCAGCTTGAGCAGCAATTACTTCATTTTCAGCACTAGTTTGTTCCTGCTCGGCTTCTTCTAATTGAAGTCTGGCGCGTTCTTCGTTATTCTTCTCCCTTGCATATTCGCTATTGTGCTCACGCTCTTGTTGCTTAAGTTGGTTCAAATTTCGTTGAGCTTCTTGATTAGTCGCTTCGGTAGTTCTCTGATCTTGAATGGCGTCATCCTTCTGATTCGACAATATTTGTGCTTCAGTAGTCAATGTTTCTACTTGTTTTGTTAACCTATCCTCTTCATTCTTCAATGTCTCGACTTCTTCAGTTAATTCCGTTTGTTTAACTGTCAGTTGTTGAACAAGAGTTTGAGAACGATTGTATATTTCCGTGACAGCATCTAATTTTTGTTGAAGTCGTTTCATTTGATTGCCTTTGTCAACAAGGATATCATCAAGATCTTGAGAAGTTTTCTCAAGTCTACGTTGTTCGTCTTGAAGAGCTTTTCGTTGATCATCCAATACTTTCAATTGTGCTTCAGCTTGTTGCAACCCCTGAGTTGCTTTTAATAGTTTCTCGTTGTGTGTTTGAAGTTGCGTTTGTAACCTTTCCACTTCACCCTTCAATTGTTCCATCATCTCTCTGGATGTATCTATTTGCGTTTGCATTTGAACCAATTCGCCTTTCTTATGTTCGAGCATCTTGGCTAGTCTGTTAATTGCTGTTGTCATCTGCTCTACTTCCTTCTCCAGATTCTTTCGTTCTAATTCAAGTTTACGTGCTTCTTGTTCATAAACTTCAATTTCACGCTCCACTGTTTTGATATCTTCTTCAGCCTTTTCATATGCTCGACGCAATTCTTCCACATTTTTTTCTAAATTTTGTCGCGTCTCTTTCTCATTATCGAGTAACACCTGATTTTCTTGTAATTCTCTTTGAATACGGCCGATTTCTTGTCGTAGTGTTCTCAATGACATCTGAAGATAATTTTGTCGACTAGCATTTTCTTGATCTTTCTGTTTGATCTCATCCAGTTCTTGTTGTAAAACCTTTTGTTCTCTTTCAAGTTCGCTCTTATGCTCATTATAACTGGTCAATTCACGTTCAAAATGAATGGCTTCTACTTCGATCTCGTCAACAATCTTCACTTCGGAAGCAATTGTGTCCATGTGTCTTTCGCGCTGTTCCAATTGATTCTTGTATAATTCTGCTTGTTCTTTTTCAAATTCTTTCCATTGTTTAATTTGCTTGTCAATTTGATCGAATAGTTGATCATTTTTATTCAGTATGTCTGTACTTTCTGCTTCCAACTTTGTATTCTTGTTCTCGTATCTCGCCTTGGAAAGTTCAAGATTTTTTATTTCGTTTTCGTTGTGTTGTTTAGCGGCATTTCTGTCCTCTTCATTTTCATTGAATTCATCCATGGTTTCCATAGTCTAGCTATCTAAAATGAGACATCTTGAAAAGGTTTAGAAAATTTCCGAAATGTATTTGACCTTTAATCTTTGATTTGGATAGTCAAAAGGACGTGTCCTACTATAGAAGAATGAATGAAGTGTCTTTTTTTCTCTTTTGAAACCACCTCTAGCAAATGACTTTTAAAATAATTGCATTTGGTTGCAATGAATGCAACTTAAACGGAATAAACAATAATTTACTTCTATTCACCTTAATCGGTTTGCACGTTGGAAGTACTTCTCTCAAATAATCTGCTGGAATCTTTCGAATACTTATATCTAAAACAGAAAAAATTATCATTTTTTTGTCTTTCTTCTTATTGAAAAAACGGTGACGATAAGAACGGCAGACAGATAAAAACTAAAAACTTTAATGAATAGCTTGCAAGAAATACAAGAAGTTATATTAAAAGTAAATATTCTAGCAGCCAAGCTATGATTACCAACCACGCTTTGACACCAGTTGTCAATCTTCAGACAAATATACCACAAATGAAATAACTGGCATTGCTGCACCATTGGTTGTTCTATCAGACTGAATGAACATAGGCTTGGATCCCGTGTGATTGCTATCTACCAGAGCTCCGCGGGATGCGGGACTATTCCGTCAAATCCCGTCCCGGGACGGGACAAATCAATTTACTAAAACGTCCCGCGATGTTTTTATCATGTATCGTTATCACCCATTGTTCTGCTATTATTCTAACTTTAGTTAACTTCAGCTCCTATTCTTAATATTCTATAATTTCTCTTATTTAATTTATCTATTTATCGATAATATATAGCGACTTTATCGAGGCACGTCCATGATTCTAATTAGTCCNTGCATTTTCTATTAATTACCAATGATTTCGATGGGTGGAAAATGATGTCAGGGCGATGTTTTCAAGAAGTGAAATGCAAGAAGATGGCGCAGTGAACTGCTTGGTTTTGTGTTTAATGAATACGATTTGTAGTAGGTTGGTTCCGGCTTATTCTAAGTGTGGGCATTAGTGAGTCAGATGTTGTTGGTTTCGGGTTACAATTTTTTTCGGTGATTGCTGTTGGGAAAAATGTTTGTTGTGGACCCGTTTAAGCTGTGAGGGTTTGGATTATGTTGTGGTTATTGATCAGGCGTTATGGTTTGGTTGGTGTGCGTGTGTTTGAAGACTATAGTTGATTGACGTTTCGATTCCAGAACGCTTGTATGAGAGATTTTTTATGAGGTCCTTGTCGTCGGAATTGGATGGAATCCGGTCAAATATGTGATGAAACCGGCATCATCCGGTAGTCCGAGTGGATCGGTTGCGACAATGTTCGGTTGTATTATCCGGCAGGAAACGACCGGATCATTTTCCGTTGAATTCCGACGGGGTTTCCGGGAGCAAAGATTCCGGCGAAATCCCCGCCGGATCCTGGCAGATTTGATTGGGAATCATGCCGTCTTCTGGTGTTATCCGGTGCTGGTTCCGACGGATTCCGACTGAATCCGGAGGCAGGATGGAGTGACTTGGGTGTAACTGCTTCATTTTCACTTTTAATAACCAAGCTTCTTTGAGCGATTTGATCCGCAGATAATCTTTCTGTTTATATCGCTTGAGCGGACACATTATTCGCAGGTAATGTTCATCATTCTTCAATGAACACTTCATTCGTATCTTACAATATCCATATTTTTTAAATGAAATTCTATTTGATAAATCGGTAATGCGTAGTGACATGAATCTTGAGCGTTTTTATCTATAAAGTCAAATAAGATTTACTGTAATAGGGTTTTTATATGTGATTATTCTTGTTTAACGAGGAGTGCACTAAATGAATAGATTCTTACATCCTAGAAAAAGATACAAGAATTTTCTAGTTTAAAAATACATAAACTTAAGAAATAAAAGAAAAGAGAATGGAGTTACAATAGACTTTCAATTGATTAAATATTCGATAGGTGCATGTATCCATAAAGAAAGAACGATAAATTGAATATAAAAAAAAGTAATTCAGTGAATACAGGACGCTAGCTAAAGAAAAAAGGCACACGAAAACAATGTAAACCAGTGAAAATGATCAGCAACATAGAAGATTCAATAGTTTTAGATTATTTTCTCATTGATTTTTGTCGGGAAGATGAATTTTACTTTGTAATCGCTTGAGACTAATTCGCTTTATTATTTACTATCACTGGACCGAATGTAGTTAGTGCTTGGCTATTAGATTATGCAGTACTAGCGTAGCTTTTTGCAAATTTTTTCCTGTATGCTGTAACAAGATCTTTTCCTTTGGATTCTCCTCCGATATTATTTAAAATTTCTTCAGTGACTAAATTTGTTAACATATCCGATCCTAAACTAGAATTAATATCTAACATTTCACATCGCCCATGTGTTCTTGTAGCAATCTCGTGAAATTTTTCTTCTGCTCGTTTTTCTACATAAAAAGCATGTACTGGAATAGTATTCGTTACTAATGTCTCTAATTCTTGTTCATAGTAGGTTTTTTTAGCAAATCGAGTGTTTTTCCAATATTTCTGTCCAAAGTTACTTCTCTTCGTAGCAACCTCCTTTAAGCTATTTGGAGGCGCATCGCCTATGAGAATAACTTGCGTAATAGGTTCTCTGTTATGTTCTTTGTTCGCATGCCACAAACCAATTTCAATCGCTTCATTTCCCCATCCTCCTTCCACATGAATAGTATTCATAAAAGCACGCAAGTTATTTGGTTTAGTTTCCCAAGGAGAACTTTGAAGAAGTTTATCTTCCAAACTATTATAATTTCGATAGACAGCAAATTGAAGTTGAAATGAATTTGAATCCATTCCATGATCTTTCAAAATTTCCGATGTACGTTCAAACATGATATCAACGGTATTTTTACATTTATGCAATAAATGACTCATCGAGCCTGTTGCATCCATCAGACAGACAGTTCGTGAGCGCGATCTTCCTGCTGCTCCTCGATTTTCTTCAATTAAAAACTTTCGAACTGAATCTATTTCTCCTGAACAAAGACTAGATAGAAATTTCTGTGAACTGAGATGTTTTTCCTTAGCTTGTTCAACGTATTTCATATTTTCTGCGTATTGTGTTTTAAATAAATCATTACGTCGATCATGAAGAAAATCATAGAGTGTATTATAAGTTTTGGTAATTCCCAAAGTATCAGTAATGGTACTTGCCATACGAGTGGCAACTCCTTTGCCTTTAAGAATATCTTCAATATGTGATTTATCGATATGAAATTTCTCCAGCTCCTGATCAAGTAAAATCATACAATATGATCCTTGATCACCTTGCCGAGCTGTTCTACCTTTGATTTGTTTTTCTTCGGAAGATTCTTCGGAAAGAAATGTTTGAATAACATGTGTACCACCATTAGTGGCAACTATTTGATTACGACAGATAAAGTCAGTACCTCGACCAAATGTTCTCGTAAATAATGTTATTTGACCAGAAACAGTCGTTCGATTAATAATCGTTTCTTTTTCTTGCAGTGAAGCATCTTCTGTCAGATAGACAACGGAGTCTTTAATGGATTCTAATGCAGATGATTGATAAAATTGCATTAGTTTTGCTTTCGATTCAAAAAAGACTAAAATAGCACGTTTTTCTGAATTTCTTTCAATGATTCGATCATCAATTTCTCGTTTGATTCGATTAAAATAATCATCGCTATTCTCTATTATGATATCGTCTCTTTCTATGAATCGAAGATTGTTTACTCCAAAAACAGATGGAGCAAATGTATCTTTAACGATCTTATAATCATTTCTAATGACTTTTTTCTCTGGATCACTTAGTGTTTCTAATGTACCTGTTACACCCATGATATATTTAAATTGAAGTGGAATTTCAGCGTAGGAAAAACTACCACACTTGATTCTTATACTGATATTATCATTTAAACTTTCTTTACTAATATTTCCTTGTTCATGTTCATGATAATAGGCAAATAAAGTTTTATATCCATAGATAACATTGTAAACAATGTTATCTTGTTCAATGTATCCGATCTTATCATTTTTAACGACATAATTATGAGACTCAAAACTTTGGACATCAGCAATCATATCTTTGATAGCTTCATCGATCAATAAGATCCAATTAGGAAATTTCTCTTGACAGGCCTTATATTCAGGTGTACTCTGTATTTTGCTCAAATTTAAACCTGATTTTCTTTGAGTCCAAATAAAACTAACAAGAGACTTTACCGTCGTATCTTTCAAACTAGCTGATGGTGTATATACATTTCCATAAAAATCTCGACTAAAGAAAACATCAACTTCATCAATAAGTAGAATCTTCGATCGTGTATTTTTTGAATGCACATTTCTAGTCTCATCTTTACTATTCGAAATTAGCTTTTCTACTAATTGGCGAATATCACCATTTTCATTAATCATGCCTTCACAAAGTTTATTGAAAGTACCATAATGTATATAATGCTGTATCCCCAATGAATTAAATAAAGGTAAAAACGCTAAGTAATCTCTTTGACCTAAATATTCACTAAAACATGCACAATTGACATCAAAACCTACAAGTGCAAATATGATCGCTGTCACTGCTAATACTATCGATTTTCCTTCACCTGTTCCTATTTGTACTAAATGATTCGTCAATGCTTCATTTTTATCACCGATACCCAATAGACGAAAAATAGATATTACTTGAGCTGCATGTGGTTGAATTAGATAGTTGTTTCTATCATTTAAACCTTCAGCTTCGAAATAATGATCAGCTTTCAAAAGTGTCCAAAAAGCAAAAATATGTGCGACAAGTTTTGGAACTTGCCCGCGTACATGTGCATCCCAAGTAATGGTGTCTGAATTCTGTCTAATATTTCCTAGGATTAACTTAGTGTCTGAAATTAATTGATCAAGTTTCATATCGGGATGAAGATTTTCTTTGATGATTTTCTGATAGATACTATGAAATTCATCATACCGTTTACGTAATCTACTCTTATCAATAGCAGTGCCTTTTAAGTTATCGAGAACATAGTCAATATTGTGTCGTTTCGCTTTCTCATTGAATAAAGCTAATGAAAAACCTTGAAATAACTTATGTTCTGAAACAATACTTTGACCAAGACCATCTCGATCTTGATTTAAAATTGTGCCTAATTTAGCGAACTCTGTCACACCATGTCGACTTTTATAAATCTTCAGTATGTCATTGATGCGCTCATTCAGTTTGACTCGAAACAACGCGATATTATTTGCAATACGTTTGATATTTATTAAGTTACTAACAACATTTTGCAATCTTGGATCATTTTGAATGGAAGCTTCCCAGATTTGAATTGTATTAAAAAAAATATCTTCAATGTTTTCAATACTGAATTGAGCATCGAGATGTGTAACTTTGATTTCTTGTCGAATGGATAATAAATTACAATAGTAGAGATTAAAAGAATCGTATTCTCCTCTTGTCAGTAGATTGCCTTGTGAAATTCTATTAACAAGTCTATCACAATTTGAAAATATTGTTCTGATTTTCGATTCTAACGATTCGAGACACTCTTCTCCGATCTTATCTATATCAGTCGGTATATTGAACTGGCTAAGAACCTTAGCACGCTGTAATAGGACAAATTTTCCATTAAATTTTCGGTAAAATTGATCTCGAGTAGTACTAAATTCTTTTGTCTCATCATTAAGAAGTTCTTGACGTAGAAGCTCATTTCTTAAATCTTTAATTTTTCGCGATATTGAGGATAACATCCGAGAATGATCAGCAAGCGGTTGTAAACTTGTTATCATATTCTCCACCGATGTATCTCTATTCATATACTGCTCATAATAAATCTTGAGTCTTGTCAGTAAGGAATTCCAAGTGGACATAACTGTTAAAATATTCAAAAGACAATCAGTATGAATTTTTTCTAGAGCATCTGCGCATTTTGCCTCATATTCATTAGAATAATCTTTAATTTTTTTTATCAATGTGTCAATTCTGTCATTAAAACCATCAGGAAGTATATGAGTCAAAATCAGTTGATTGATATGATCATCTTTAAATTTCAGAAATTCTGTCAAGCAAGTTAAACTTTTTTCTAAAGCTACAGCACTCTCGTTTTCACCGACAGAGACCTGTGCACTTAAAAAACGATTTGTGAACGATAGATAAGCATCGCCAAATATTTGTATAATACGTAATCGTACTTCGGAGTAGGGTCGATTAATATCGATGATAAGTTCTTCGAGTTCTGTTTTATAATTATATAATTTTTTAACATGTGTAAATGCTTCTCGAATTTCATGACGTTCGAAATTCTCATTGATGTTCTGAACGATTTCTTGTATTTGTTTTAAAACAAGTGCTTTAACTTTATTCGCAAAAGACTGTAATTCTTGCGATTTTTCATATTCGAGAAGAATATTTTTGATATTTCGTACATCTCCACTACTACACGCATTTTCTAATTTAGTTTCATTATCGTGAATAATTTGAACAATATCATCTTTACAATGCCTTAATTCGACTTCTAAAGCATTTTTCATTGTTTCCGGTAAATATTTTACAGCTGATTCAAATTTTCTAATATGGATATTTTCTGAATTGGGTGGTTGATTCGATTTTGCTTTATCCAATTCTGCTCGAAATTTCGCAAGGATGTTTTCTCGGATTTGATTTAATGCTTGATTATAGATTGGATTTGTTTGATTCACTTGTCGAAATTTTTCGAAAATATCTGTAGGTGGATTTAAAGTGTAACCGCTAATGTCCATTTCGGAGTATTTAGTCACTACATTTTTTAATACAACTGTATTCTGATATTCATTTAAACTTTCTATTTCCTTAGAAATCTCTTGTGTACAATATTTTCCTAATAAATTTCGCACTACTTTGATTGATTCGATTTTACCATCTGCTTCGCTGAAATTATGATTACCTATCAGCGCTCTTATTCCTGCTAAATAACGTTTGATTCGTTCTTCAATAGTTGATTTAACTTTTGCGATCGACTCATCTATTTTATGAGGCGCATCTAAATGTTTTTCTATGAATTGTTTTGCTCTTTCCATTCGTCTTAAATTCTCAACAATCAATCTGATATCTTCTCGTGGTATCGTACTACCAATCGTAATTGCTTGATTTTCCGTTTCATCTATTAATTGCTCTAAACCAGCATTTAATGGTCGTTTTGTTTCGGCATAAAAATGTTTACCGACCTCTTCCGATGACTGTAAAATCATCATTTTTACGGCAACACGTTCATAATCGAAATTTTTAATCGCATCGATCACCTGTTGACCAATATCATTAGTTTGTGAAAAAAATATCCTTTGATATTCATTATAAATATCAATAAATTTTGAACTTTCTAAAAACTTATCTAATTTACTTAGGGCTTTAGCAGTGGTTAATTTTGTGTTTAAAGTTTCAGTTCTTTGTGTCACACTTAATCTGGCCATTTCAGTGCTTAATTCTAAGCAATAACTAGATAATTCTGTTTGCCAATCTTGAAAGATTGTGCCTCTAGAAAAATGAGAGAAAACACGAGGAGAATCCTTGCCTATATCAAATATTTCTTGTGTGCGCCTTAATAATATACGAATTTTATCTAAAATTTCATTTGTATCGAGAGATGTTTTGATTTTGTCAAAACAAGTTTCTATTTCTTTTTGAATAAAATCACTAAAATTTCTGACAAACGTTTCTAAACGATCAAGTACAGTTAGACAATCGTTTCTATTTGGAATGAATGCATCTTTACAAGCATTCAAATACTGAAATGCCTTTTCTGCTTTGACTGAATCGAAACTTTTATATTCCTGTTCGCATCGTTCTAAACTAAATGTACTCCGAATACTTTCAAAGATATGGTTTGTGGTATTCTGAAACCAAGTATTAGCTCCTTCGATATGTTCATTTATCGTTGGAAAAATACTCGTGAGCTGTTTCATGTCATTCAGATCGGACAATTGTTTCGAAACATGTTTTATTTCATGAGAATGATCCAGATCTAAATTAGTTGACATGATAGCCTTTTTTAATTTTTCTACATGCTGAAAAATCAATTGTTCAACATTATTTATTACATTTGAATAGAGTCCAGTGCGATATTTCTCTATCCACGTAGCACTTTTTAGATTCGAGAGACATTTGATAAGTTTTTCAAAATCAATTTTTTCCCCGCCTTGAAATAGAACTCGTAAAAGTTCCTCGACATCTCGTCGTAATTGATAGATATATCCAAATAATTTTTCTAATGTGGCGTAATAAACTTGACTTGTTTCAAGTCCGATACTCGAAATATTTCGAATTAAATCTAATTGTTCAATCATTTTTTCTAAATTCTCTAATGCATTTTGCTTCTTTAATTCGTTGTTTACTTCTTGAACAATATTTTTAAAAAACTTTGAAATTTTTGATAGAAAACTGTCATAAATTTGTTTGATTTCTTGTTTGCGAATATGTACTTCGAGACTGAATGTGTTCAAAGCTGTTTCTAGATTAACTAGACAAGTATTGATTTGATCGATATCAGGTTTTTCAAGTTTTGTTTGTTTAAAAAGATAATCTAAGTCTTTGGTAGAACTACTGAAATAACTGAGGAAATCTTCTCTCAATTTGACGCATTTCATTTTGATATTTTCTTCATCTAAATGATGATGAAATATATTCAAAGCATCGAATAAATTTTGCATAATAGTAGCACACTGATCGAATTGGTTTGTATGAAGATAATTTTCGAAAGGACCAACTTTCAAATCGATTTTTTCAGTAAATGATTGAAGAACACTTTCATACGTTTCCTTAATCTCGGGGAAATGTTTCGTAACAAGTTGGATTTTATCTAAATTTACTTTCACTGATGAATCATCAATTTCTTTTTCTCTTAGATCGTCATTCATTTGGTTTACTTGCTGATTTAAATGCTGAACAAATGCGCTACTATGAACGACTTCATTATCTAGATGATCTTTTCTTAATTCTTCTGCCGACTGCGCATGATTGATATATGTTTGATATTGTTTAATATCACTATCGGTTACAAATATTTGGTGCATTAAGCACCGACTTAACTTCAACGTACCTTCTCGATATTCTTCGCAAAGATGCTTCTTTAACTGCTGAATACAAGCCGAATAGATCTGTTCGATGTAATCTTCTTTCAGTAGCTTATTTAAACGTTTCATTTGATCCAAATAATATTTGATTAATGGATATTCAGACCGTTTAATGGTTGACATAAGAGTTAATTGATAGTTTTTTAATTGCTGCTGAACGATAGTTTTTGACTTCTCGGCGATAGAAAACTGAAAAACTTCGTCGGGATGTTGAATAGTAGCGGAAGTGATGAGTTCATTAAGAAAATCTCGTGGTTTATCTCGTAATGGATTCAACACTAGAGGGTGCCTCTCGGTTTTCTGTAACATATCGCGAAATAAATTCATGAAACTCTTATCTGATTTTTCTTGATCAGTCATTGTTTTTCCGATAGCTTCTAAAGCCCCATGAATGGTATTTGTCTCTTCTATCGGATACTTGGTAAATATATAAGAAAACGCTCTAATTTGATCTTGAATTCCTGGAATTAAACCTGCTAAGAGATGAGCGAGTTTTTTTAATCCTTCAAATCTATCTCCAATACTTCTATAACTAACTAAAACAACAGGTTTGACAGTTTTGCATTGTCGAATAGCTCGAACAATACTTATTCCGTTGGCGATATCGACTTCTGGACCATTGGTATCTTCAAATCCTGGTGTATCACATAGAATAACACTACCAGGATGAAGTACACCCATATCTTCGCATCTGACGGTTACAGGTGTGATAAAACGAGTTTCCGATCTGGCAAAAGGTGAACTAATTACGTATTGTAGGTCTGAATTTGGGAAATTTGTAGGAGCAATATGATTTAATCCTTCTATTCTTGTTGCAGTCATTGTTGATCCAGCAAGAAAATGAATAGCTGTTGATTTACCTGACCCAGTACCGCCGAGAAGAAAAATGATATCTTTATTTTTGATTACTTCTGCTGCATCATCAACTTTTTCTATCAATCGAAATAAGTCATGAATATTTAATGGACTAATCTCTTTGAAAATTTTTCGTAATAAACTTAAACAATTCTTCCAACTCTTTTGCTTTATATGGATGGATAGTTCTTGCATTGAATTATGAATTTCTGAAGATGATAATTCTTCTACTTTTACTCGATCGGTCAAATTTGCAAACTCTTTGCTTATTTCTATTTCTATTTGATCAGGTTGAACAAGATTCGAATCCTGAGGAACATGATGATCGATGAATTGACGCGAAACATGATACAACAAATTGATTACGGATCGTTCTGAACATGGTGGCATAGAATCGAAATCACTCTTCATATAAAGTAGATTTTCCTCTGTAATTGGAAATTCGTTCTGATTAGAACTATGACTGGCGCTTTCATTTACGAGTTGCTGTGATATTTCCGATGCCGTGTGTGAGAGAGCATTGATTTTGTTGACTAACAATTGAAGATTTTCTAATTCTAATAGAGAATTTTCGCGTAAAAGTACCCTATTAAGCTTTTCTTGACTCTTCAAAGTTTCTATTCTTTGTTTCTTTTCGATGATTAACTGTTTTAAATGGTTTTCATCCTTAACATCACGGTCATCGAAGGCAGCATCTTTTCGTACTTTCAATGTTTGAACATCATCAGCTACTAAAGAAGTTTTGATTATTTTAATTTCATTCATTAATAATTGAACTTCTTCTAGTTTCGCTAGAGATTTTTCTCGTTTTCGTGCGTTGTCATGATTTCCTTGCTCAGTTAATTCTTTTATTCGCTGTTTCTTCGTCGCGATTTTTTCATTTAAGTCGTTCTCGCTACTTAGATCAAGGTCGTCAAAACGTTTCTGTAACTGTTCTTTCAACTCTTCATAGGTTTTAGACATTGACGAAGTCTCTTTTTTGGCAGACAGTTCGCCACTTATCAAATGATCATCGTCTACTGTAAGTTTATGAGACTGACTGATTTCTTTTCGAGAATCTATTGCTCTGGTAAATTCCCTATATTTATTCTGCCTATTGGATGGATCGAATGATTCTTCTGATGCTGATATTTTCACTGGTAGTTGTAACATATGCGTATCGTTAGATGTTGCTACATCTACCGAATCAGAACTTTTCGAACGATTACCTTCAGAAAATAAGGATTTATGAATGTCTTGATCTTTTTGCTGACAAATAATTGGTTGATTTTGCTCATTGGTCATGTTTGAAGACTGATGTGCTGTAAACATTGATTCTTTGAATAATGCCAGTAAGTTTTTGATCGTTAAAAATATGCTAAGGTTTCGATCACCAACATATTCACAAGTTGCCAACTGTAAATGAGCATCTGGGAAAATTTCATTGAAATGTTCTTGTAATTTATTCGGAATGTCATTAGAGCCATTGACTGGATTTACATATACAGCTCGCTCAAGCTGATTATCTCGATTGAATTCGGTAAATATTCCAGTCAAATGGGAATTTCCCAAGTTATAAGGAATAACCACGAGGCGTTCTACCCCAGAACGATCTGTCCTCGCCTGTTCCAATCGTTGTTTTAACTGATCATCAACATCATTTGCAGTTGCAAACACATCAGTTTGTTTCGATTCTTGTTCAGGATTATCATCAATTAACTTTTGTATTTTCTCTTTCAGAAGATGCTCGATATTCATGGTTTTAATATGGCTTGATGCCAAGAACTGCTGAAGTTTAAATGTTTCAAGACGCTTTTCGCTTCTATTTAGAGAATGTTGACGAATTGGTTTCGGAACGATTGGTTTCTAAATAAAGTAAAATCATAATTCCTATGTTATCTTGAGGATGTGGGTGTCTTCAAGAGTATCAAAGAGACACAAGTTCACTCTGAATACTTCAGATTTGCCAGGAGCGAAAATCAAGCAGAAACATAACTTTCAGTTATCGCCCAAAGTTTACTGTAAAAACCGGTTATTTGTAAAGGACGCTGAGTAGGGAACTGCGCGACCATCTTTCTTCGGTTCTGGTCTCATTTAAGTTCTGTTAAAGTTGTTTTTCTAGGTCCTGGTCCCGATTTTATAAAAATATTTTAGCTTTCTAGTAGATTGTCTATATCTTTAGGAGTTTTTCTCACTGTTTTGAAGTTTTGAATGCTTATTTGTTAGCATTTTTTCGTATTATACAATATTTGAGAGTGAAAATTACTAATCGAGAACAAAAATACCAAGTAGTTTGAACGAATTACTTTTTAAGAACAATTGCGGGACTGGCTAAGATAAGTTTTTGGTCTCACTCCCGGTCCCGATTGTAGCCCTATCAGGACCAGAGCCGGGACTGCTTTGTAGTTTCATAACACTGGCACCGACGAACAGCCTCAAATCCAAAATTAATAGCCCTAGTGGAAGAGCTTGACGAGGTGATTCTATGGACATACATGAACATCCACAATGACTGAATATGAGAATGTTTCTCAGATAAGTGCTGTTTTTGAAACCTATGAACACATATGAACATTCCCATCTTTTTGCCAGAAAATAGAGCTCATCCGCAATATTAAATTTTCCTATGTTTGCCTAAGATAAAATGGGAGCAGTAGGTTTTTTCAAGGTTAAGTATCCCTAGGTGAACTTCTTATGGCATTCGCATGGGATATTTGAGAATCTGGAGCAAGAAAGTCCTGCGCTATGGACAAATCTTGAGTTCTGCGTAGATTAAGAACATGAAAAATAGGTCGCCTAGGGCTTATACACATTGATTCATAAATTTTTATATGATAAAAAATTCGAATATCTCCGCCTTTCTTTAGTCTACCGGGCTAATTTTGTTGTGGGTGTGAGGGTGTAGGGTGTATGTGAGGGTATGGGGTGTTGGTTGAGGATTTGGGTGTAACATCCAAATCCACACTCTCATATTAAAAGAAGGCTGAACAGTTTTGGGATAAATTTTTATACAAACTAGGTGAATATATGTTGTTTTCGTTGCTTAAAAGAGAGAATGAAACTACGTCGATTACTGAGCACAAAATTTTTCCGACAAATTTTCCAAAATAGAAAATATTTTGTAGCGTCAATGCTTTTGAGTTTTAATTTGTCAGAAGTGCAGCAGAATCTTTAACTTCAAAATTCAATAACCTGTATGAATTCAGTGTTGAAATTTCCAGCAAATCACTAGTTATTAAAATTTCTTTATGTGTCTTCAGATGATTTTTCAAGGAAAGGACCCTTGGAATAAAAAATCGAAAAAAATGATGCAAATTACATCATTTCAATCAAATTTTTGCTGGAAGAAATTATGCCGAAAATCAAAAGAATTCAATTTTCATGATGAAACGGACACTTAAATGCATGTATTTAAAGTCATCGATGAATTTGGAAATTATCATTGGATGTAAATGATTAAATTTTAATCGACGTCATGCCATGAAAATCATTCGAACCTTCGTTAGCCCATACAACGATCCATAATTTTTACGGCGATTCAGATAGCTAATCTCTGAGGTCGTACTAACCGTGACTAGTCTACGTTTGCTGCCCCTCGAGTGACTGTGCTATGAACTTTCCAAGTTTTTTTCACACTTAAAGTTTTGATACAAGTGCAGAACTTTTTTTATAATATAGTACTTCATTTATACGAGATCGGAATCAGAGGTGTCCACAGGGCAGGGCAGGACTATACCTTCACGCCCTGCAAATTTTGCATATACTTACTTTAGTTCGAAAATAACAACAATTTTATTCTTCTCGGGAACGTGAAAGAAACTAAAACTATCCAGATATCGCTATAGAATGGTAAATAGATTGTTATATTTGTGTTTGTATGATGACCGTATAAGGATCAATCAAGTTTGCAAGAAAACAAAAGAAAATAATAAATTAATCATAATAGTGATATGATAATAGTGCACATATATTCAAAATATAATTGTAATAGTTGCTGATGTTCTTATTATTTCAATAAAACTATGCATCGCTATCATCGTCGATAGATTCATGTGCTGATGTTTCATCTATCTCTCCTGGTGATGAAAATGAAGTTTTTATTCTCTCTTCGTTAAATATATCTCGCCTTGTCCAAACGTAATGCTGTGATATTTTGACAAATTGTTTTGCAATTATCTCGAAAGATATAAGAGCTAATAAGGTCGTTCAAGCGTCATTCGACGCAGCTTATCATAATCTATTAATGTTGAAAGATTGGCCTAGTTCGACTGAATTCTCGCGCTTCTAGAAAGGTTTTATCATCGCGTAACACTGACAAAAAAGGACCCTTTTTTCTAGGTTTGCGCTTATAAAGCTCTAATTTCTTCCCAAATCATTTCTTCAAATGAAATGCTTATGGTACCGTTTTTGTAGAGAATTGAATGGGCTTTCAACCAGTAAAAAGTATTTTTTCTAAACTATTTTCGCTCAGATTAAAAATGCAAAAACCAAACATAACGCTGTGACACGATTTTTTGTCGACCGAATTTGAAGCACTGAACATGCTTAAAAATATTCAATGTTTATATGTTGATCACTGCNAAAAAGTGAAAATAGAAATTTATACTGCAGTATTATTCATACTATATTGGTATTTTTTTTAAATAAAGCTCTAAGATGCAAAAACGTTACTGCTTAACGACTAACTAATTAGGAACGAATTGAGAAGGGACGAATTGAGAATCAATTAAGAATGATATATTTATGGAAGGGACGAATTGAGACAAACATTTCAGATAAGAATCACCTACTTGATCAATTTGGGACGAATCGAGAGTAAACCTCATATACACTTTTTCAATTAGCGCTAATTTATTATTTGCTGATTATTTATCTATTTGCTGAACTATTTTTCAAATAAAAAAGATTACTTAAAGTTGAATTTAAATATGAAAAAAAATCTTCTTAATTAGCAGGGCAGGGCAGGGCAGGGCAGCACACAAATTATTTGAAAATGATTTTGCCCTGCTAGGGCAGGGCAGGGCAATAAAATTGGCCCTGTGGACACCTCTGGTCGGTACAATCAACATAGCACAAATTTTATATACGTAATATGTTTATAAAAGATAGTTTTCGAGTAAAAATTGACTAATGTGAGCACAGAATAAAAGCTTTGGAGAATGTGAAGTGTGAGTCGAGAGAAAAGCATGCCTGAAACAGCAATATTGACAACAATCCTAACTCACTTTTATTGCCATTCATCATATAGAAATGATATGTGTGAATCCTCCCCTGACTCATCTGTATAGCAACGACGAATATGGAATGATTCAGATGAGTTAAAGTGCTGTTGATTTGAATCATTCTTCGCAGCATTTTTTATTTGAATATCTTGTCTTATAGAGAAACTGATGCAAGTTGTATGAATTTACCAGTTAGAAATGTCAGCTTTGATATTAGCTCTTTAAGCCTAATGTTCAAAAGTTGTCTAATCGATGTAACAGCCTTGTTTTCACTGTAGGAAAAATACGCTTTCTTTTGCTAAATGAGGCCGATTGATGTATTCGATTGAATGAATAAATAATATCAGTAATATCGAACGATTTGCATGATTAAAACGAACAAAATATAGTTTTGTAACAGTTACTTTCGTTCTATTGAATTAAATTTTTCTTCACTTGATTCATGTTTAGATACATTCCTTTCACATTGTATTAAATTATGGTACTCTCGATGAATTTTTACAACTGGTAACTTAGTCATATGTCTTACATTATATCTCTTAGGTTTAATTAAGTTCACAGAACATCTGATATATAATAGAAATTCTTTTACGTTAGTCACAAGGCTGCAAAAAGTCATGCACCTAAATACTATCAGGGTAGTATTTTTTCTACACGAATTTGAGAGATTACGATTAACAAAACTTAAGAAAACGAGTGACCTTATAACTTTGGCAAACATTCTAAAAGAGAGATTTTACTTAAAATGATGTGCACTAAAATGATGTGCACATGTCAATTAATTTTTTCTAAAATTATTGAAAAATTGTTTAGCCATGTTTTAATGATGACTAACGGCAATATCATAATTGTTTATAGTTTTTAACTCACATTGCCTCGCTTTGATTTGATCCTGTACAAAAGAATAGTATATTAAGTGTCTTTTTAACCCTAATCCACTCTCCCCCGACGACTCCCCGGGGAGAATTGATGAGATTTTTTAAAATAAAAAAAACTTATTAATTTTTTAAAATTGTAAAAAGCTAAGAAGAAGTTATTAGTAATTAGATATTTCATCCATTTTGCCAGATAACTTCCCGGGAAGTCCCTGCAAAAGAACGAAATCCCTACACTGTAAAAAAAAAGCGTAGACTAATAAACGCTTGCCCTATCTATAAATATTCATAAACCCTTAAAGGGTTTATGAACCTGAGGGTTTATGAAACCAAGGGCATATGACAAAAAAAGGGTATTTTGCTTCAAGAGTCAAGGATAAGGGTTTATTATTGTTCGCCAAAGGGTATCTTATTCTACGATTTCAATATAAGAGTTTATTAGTTTTCATGGAAGGGTATTTTATTCTACGGTTTCAATAGAAGGGTTTATTAGTTTCCATGCAAGGGTATTTTATTCTACGGTTTCAATTGAAGGGTTTATTATTGCTCATGAAAGGGTACTTTATTTTACGGTTTCAATCAAAGGGTTTATATTATTGTTCATGAACCCAGGTCAAACATTCCCGTCACTGGATCCCGTAGGATACTCCAGGAAATATGC